TACTTAAATGACTGCCTCATAAAGGAAAGTAATAGAGATGTAGTCATGTTTTAGTCTTTAAAGTGCTGCATAGTCCTGTCTTTTGCTTCAAAAGGGGGCATTCATACATCGAAACAAGCCACATGGTCACAATAGTGAGACAGACTTTTGACTTACTTGGAGTAATCATAAACAAACAGAAGTCTACCATCAGGCCATCTCAAACTCTGAACTTTATAGATGCCCGTGTAGACTCTGCTTCGGCATGGGCCTACCTGCCCATGGAACGGTTCTAGACCATGCAAGACCTATTGCACGTCCTACTGCATGCCCCAACTGTTTCGGTTCTCACCTGTTCGCAAGTAATAGGTCATATGGCCGCTACCACCCTTGTGGTCAGCCACACACGACTGCATTTTCACTGCCTACAACACTGGCTGGCAACAGCATATGTCCCCACAAGACACACTATTCACAAGCTTGTGAACTCTCCGGCCCACATCTGCATGTCCTTTTTATGGTGGACCAAACCACACAACCTCCTTCTGGGCGTACCCTTCCACCGACCTCAACTATCAAAGCAGATAACTATAGATGCCTCCCTTACAGGCTAGGGTGCCCACATAAACGGTATGACGGTGCAAGGCCGCTGGTCCACTTCGGAGGCGGCCCTACATATAAGTCTCCTTGAACTCAGAGCAGTTTGCAATGCTTGCTTCTACTTTCAGAACTACATATCCAACACAATCGTCAGAATTCTTACCGACAATATTGCAACTGTTTTATGTGAATTGCCATGGTGGTGCTCAGTCCTGATCACTCTGCACAAATGGAACTGGTGCACCTGCCACAACATCATACTAGTAGTGTCTTACTTATCTGGTACCAGCAACACCATAACGGATTCGTTGAGCAGACGTTTTCCCCATGACCACAAGTGGGAAATACGCAGCAACACTCTGTACAGGGTCTTCCATCATTGGGGGTTTCCATCAATAGATCACTTTGCCACACACAAGAATGCAAAATGTCAACTTTATTGTTCCAGGGTCGACATCAGTCAAGTGTCCTTGGGGGGGATGCCTTTCTCCGCCACTGGAGGAACTCTCTATTCTACGTGTTCCTCCCAGTCATATTAATAACCAGGGTCTTTGAGAAGATCAAGGCTGATGGAGCCAAGGCCATACTCATAGCCCCTTCCTGGCCACGTCACTCATGGTATCCCTTCCTCCATCGAATGTCTCTGCAACATTCATACGCTTTGTCTCTATCAGGCCTGCTCACTCAGAACAATGGCTCTCTCGTTCATCTGAACCCCGAGTCGTTACACCTGACCGCCTGGTTTCTATCTGGTTCAACGAAGCCGAGAATCTATGTTCGGAACAGGTGAAGCAGGCTGATTCACAGTAGGAGAAAAGCTACCAGAACTATTTACATGGAAAAATGGCACAGATTTTCAACTTGGTGCTCGGGCAACCATATTGATCCATTCACGTCGAGGCTACATCATATTCTCGACTATGATCTCCATCTCAAACAGTCAGGCCTGTCGTCACTATGGGTGCATCTTGCGGCAATTATGGCCTTCCACAGCTCGATAGATGGCACATTGGCGTTGGCCCATCCAATGACAAAAAGGTTTCTAAAAGGTCTCTCAAAACTCAATACCCCTCACAGGCTTCCACCTCCAAGTTGGAACTTAGACTTGGTGCTGGATACCTTCACACGTTCCCCTTTTGAGCCTCTGGCTACCATCCCACTCGATAGGCTTACACTTAAATTGGTATTTTTGTTAGCCGTAACTTCAGCTCGTAGGGTCAGTGAGCAGGCAGCTCTTATGTCTGAACCACCGTACACAGGTTCACCGCAGAATCAGTGTCGTTACTTCCCACCCAGCGTTTATCCCTAAAGTCTCTACGGACTTTCATATTAACAAGCCAATTGTCCTTCCAACTTTCTATCCCAAACAACATCAGTCACACCATGAGGCATCTCTGTACGCCCTCGATGTCCGTCGAGCATTAGGCTTTTACATTGAAAGGACACGCAGCTGGCGGAAAACCAACTGCTTATTAATTTCCCTCGCTGAATAATCTAGAGGTCAAGCACTATCTTCCCAACGCATTGCTAGACTTATAGTTTCATGTATCACCACATGATGTTCTATTCACAACAAAATACTACCTTCCCAACCAAAGGCTCATTCCACTAGAGCGATAGCCACATCTACTGCCTTCCTACGAGGAGTACCCCTCCACGATATTTGTCGAGCAGCCACATGGTCTTCCAGCACTATGTTCATGAAGCACTATGCAATTGTACAGCACCTTGTGACAGACTCCTCTGTACCCCCTGCTGTTCTTTCAGGCCAGAACAGACCATGATTCCACCAAGGCTGGATACGGCTCTGGAGTTACCTACAGTGGAGCACCCACGGGGACACTACTTGAAGAAGTTGTTATTCAGCTTGGTGCAGTAACTATGGTTCTTTGAGATGTTCCCCCATGGGGAGTAACTTCTATGTTTTGTAGGTAGGCAACATTTAAAATGTGATGATGATCAGAAACATCACTAAAAAAAGAACTGTTTTACTCAGTAGATATTCTCTTCACCTGTAGTTACTCACAATTTATTATTCTGTTTTCTTCTGCTAGCTTTGTAGAGCCAATTCAGATACAGGAGACAGTTGTAAATGGATTCCCTCTCTTTCCGGCATTCCAAATAGAGATTTTTATTTGGCACAAATATTGGATCAAATCCTATCGTTCTTATTTAGGTCTTGCCTGAGTGAATAACAGTATTAAAAATACTGTAATTAAAGCCAAATTTGAAACCAGTATTATAAACAGAAAAGGATAGTGCATTAAAATAGTTTACATTTCTTAAATGTTCTCATGTCTTTTTGGTTCTTTTGGAGTGTGGTGTTCCTGCCTTCGCAGAGTACTCTGAAATTAGAGACATACAATGTTATTTTTTTTAAGTCTTGTGATTCTTCTGATTTGTGTTTCAGTGCAATATTGTATGTATAGGTATCATAACTGGCATTTACCTTCTGACTTAAAACCTAATAAATACAGGCATAACTATCACTTGTGGGTCATTCTCATTTAAGGATTATTATCTATATACTAGGCTGAATAAGCTCAAATGTTGAGTAGAATAAAATAGGGTTATTACTGTGTTCAGAAGAATGTTTTAAACTATCAGCATAATCATTCAGAATTTGTGAAACATTGTTTTTAAATTAAAGCGAAAAACTACTGAAACCAAACTGGCAAAAGGTAATATTTTTGGTTTTAAATACAGTTGGTAAATCCTTTTTTCCCCTCCTCTCCTAACTTTTCTTTCTTTTTTTATTTTTCCTTTCCCTTCCTACAGATCAGCAAAGCTTGTCTCACTCAAAATAACTTTCATTTTTATTTACAGTGTTTCAAAAGTGAATCAGGAAGGAAGAGGCTTTTAAGTTCTCCACCAACTTGGAGTCTTCCAATATACATAAAAATAGATTACTATTATTTTGGCACCAAGCGCTTACTGATTATAGAGATGAGAGGAAGAAGGAAAATGGATTGGCTTTAGGAAATTGAGGGGGAGGATGGGAACTGATTTCTTTTCCAGCTACATTCTTACTGTGTTTTCGGGTTGTTCAGTTTTTTCTTTTTCATTTCCTTATACATTTTGGATTTTTTCCTATTTTAGCTTCAGGGAGTAAGAAGCTGAGGTATCATCTTTATTCTGATGAATTTGTATACTCAGAACTTAAATTGTTTCCCAACAATAGAGTTATTTGAATACATTAAATAGAAGTAACTATTCAATTATTATGCAAATCTACAAATTCTGTCTAGTCCCTGCCAACTAGTCAGAGCACTGGGCAATATTAAAACTGAGCCACGTCACTACTACTAGTCCTGGCTGCTGTTGAATAAGGCTACTGATCTTGTCCATACTGATTATGTAATTTGCCCACTTGCAACCAGTCAGAGTTCAGACAGCTGTTGAGATAAAAATGTGCAGCTGTTAATAACTATACAGCAGGGGTGTCCAAACTTTTTTCAAAGAGGGCAATAACTATACACAGCATCCCTGCAGTCTGATTAGCTGCAACTCTTCTATTTCAGCATTTTATAATAGTGCTTATGTTCTCTTCTATAAATAAGAATTTCTCCTTCAACATAATTAGTATATTCAAAAAAGGAATTGGCTTGAGGGAAAGTAAGATCCAAAGGTAGCTGATTATCCATTTTGCCAGTCTGTAAAGCTATTTATGTACAGTATACATCCTGTTTAGACGGGCTTTGTATGACTTGAAAGCTTATCCTTGATAAGATTGGAAACAGTAGCTTTAAAAGTGTTATACTATGTGGAGTGCAGTATACAAGAAGCTATATTAAAAGTGCTGATAATTTTTTTCAATCTCTTTTCTACAATATTTAAATTCAATTCCCTTTATCAGGTATATTGCATTTAGCAGCAACCATCATGGATGTAATATGTAATCGATCACAAATATCTTATTTTATAACTTACACAAACAGAATTTATGTATGAATCCTTTGAACTAGGGATAAAAAGGATGTGGTATATGGAAAGATTTTTCATTATAAAGATAATTTTGATATTGGATTGGGAAAGCTGTAACACAGCATCTATTCTCAGTCATTAAGCTTAAGAACTGATTTTGATCTTCAGACATGTCAATAGTGGTAGCTTTCCTTTTAACACTTGGTTTAAGAATGATGATTTTTCAACCTTTATTTTTAAAAATACCATTAAAAGGGTCTGTATATCATGAAATTAAAAATCTTGAACAGTAGCATCAGAAAAACAATTTAATATAAAATTGAATGGAGAGATATAATAATAATATACCCACATTAGCTTCCTGTTGATGCTGAAAGTATTGAAGAAGTGCCAACATATAACCCACAGTCTTACAATCTTCTCGCTACAGCTCTGCTCTTATCACAGCTTCTGGCATCAGACAGGAAACTCAGCTATGGAAATAAGGAAGTTTCTTCTGTACTGCTGTTGGGTCCGAGACAGTGTCAGGATATATTGTATCAGTGCTGTTTTTGTGAACATATCTTTCAGTGATATGAAAATATAAGAATTCTTATCTTTCTCCTATGTTCATCTCAAATAATCATCCAGTTTTTCATACTCCATGCCAGTAATATTGATTATTTTCATTTTTGTGTAAACAGTGGAACAGCAGCTAGATCAGGGCTAGATTTACCTATATATTTATATTATGGGATATTTTAAAAATCCTTTCCAATTGCTTATCTTCTGATTTTCTTGTGTTGTCACCATGATCTTATCAGTTTGATAGAATGTAAGATATAGATAAGACAGCTTGGGGAACTTTTTCATATAAATGGATATACATCTTTTTTTCATTATTGGCTGTTCATAATATTTTCTTTGTGTTTTCAGCTTACAAATTTGGAAAGGAAGTGGCAGCACCACGAGCAAAATAACTTTGTGATGAAAGAATGTATCCTTTTTTTTAGATAATTATGAAAATTAATACAAGCTAGTAGTTGACTAACGAAGGCTTTTCCTCCCAAAAGCCAAGTCAGTCAGGACATTTTTACAGGGTGGGAGAAGAAGGATAATGGGAACTTACAAATGTTTGTTTGATATACAATGAAACTGCAGCTCATTAGGCAACCTCCAGTATTAAGCATCTCCTTATAGTATTGCAAGCTTCCGGTATTGACTTCATGACCGAAAAACAAGCTACACAAGGCACATTCTTTCTCCTGTTCTCTTGAGTTTATCCTAGGGCATACTTTTGACTTGTAGATTTTCTTCCGTTATTATATTTTGATTTTCAGCAAAGGCAATGATTTTTTTAAAAAATCCATATAGTTCCATTACTATGCATGATATTTTACAATATATAAAATACAGCAAACAAATTTTTGTCTCATTAAACACAATGGAAGTTGTTTGTGAGGACAGAATTGGACCCCCACATATTGAAATGAAACTTTTCAAAAGCTAGTAGTGATGACATTTTCAAAGAACATTCATTGCAAAGTGCAGTCATAGAATAGTTCTAGATAGGTTTTCAAACTAACAAAAGCATAGACATTCTAGATGAGAGTACATTTTGTTCTTAACTAGCACCAATGTCCTTGGCTATTGCAGATATCTGAACAGTACATAATCTCACATTAATTTTCTTATCCAGGAACTATAAAGTTACTGAAGTAAACTCTCTTCTTATAAAATGACCTAAAAACAGTAGCATTGAAGAATCAAATATACAGTGACTAGCCACAGGACTAGTTGTTGTTTTTAAAGTTACAGACTAACTTGGCGACCCCTCTGAGACTATACCTAACAGTTAATAGACGTTGCAAAGCTGTTATATCATTACAGCTAAAAATATCTTAGATAGAAACTTCATTACCAGATCAGGCCAATGGTTATCTACTTCAGTATCCTGTCTCAGAAGGTGCTTTCAGGAGACAGCACAAAAAGATCTGTAATGAAAAATTATGTAGTAACTTACCCACAATCAGTTAGGGCAGTGGATTCCCAACCTTTTATTATACCAGGGACCAGCAAACCCATTCACAAACTTTTGGGAGACCGGTAACATTTTATTTGCATATTTGCACATTCATATATGCAAAGAAATGTTACTGGTCCCACCAAAAGGCCCGGTCCTCTGAGCCCCTCTCAGTGCCAGCCCTAATCCCTAGAGCCTCCCACCCCTCCACTACTTCCCAGCACCAGCCATTGACCCCAGAATCCCCTGTAACCAGACCCCCTCCCTGTGCCAGCCTCCCACCCTCAGAGCCCCTCAGTACCAGCCCCCATCCCAAATTCCTCTGTGCGAGCCCCTCACCCCTTCAAGCCCCCCCACACCACCAGATCCCACCAGTGCCAGCCTCCTGTTTCCAGAGGCCCAATGCCCCAGAGTTTTCCCAATGCCAGTCCCCAATATTAGCCCCATTCCTAGAGCCCCCCCCCCAGTGCCAGCTCCCCAACCTGGACTCCCCAGTGCCCCTCAGTGTGAGCCCTCCACTCCAAGAGCCCCCCGTCTCTAGTTCCATTCCCAGAGCCTTTCCCACCCCCCTCACCTAGCCCTGCGCTGCCTCCCAGTCACCAGCTGAGCACTGCTGCCCCGATCACAGTTGGTCTAAGGCTGCCATGCTGGGCTCTGAACGGCGTTCCCACCATGCAGCAAAGCTCTCTTCCATGTTTCAGTCAGCGCTGATTGGCTGAGAGGCAGGGCAGGACATGCCTTCCAAGCAGTTGCAGAGGGAGGGGAGGCGCTGGGTGGTGTATCCCAGCCCCAGCCCCCAGAGTTGCTGCAGCCCGGCAGCCAGAGGTCTATGGCCTGTTGACTGGCAGTTGCGAACTACTGAGTTAGGGTATGTCTACACTGGAAATGCTACAGCTCAAGCAGCACTGCTATAACACTGTAGTGTAGTTTTTCTCTACATGCTGTCCCTGGTGGTTCTCCATTTCACTTGTCAGTGCTTCTCAGCAACGCTGTTCAGAGATTTTTGGTAGCAGTAACTATTTGGGGGACACTTTCAGGGTAGCAGTCTTGTGGTGCAGTTGGCAATTAATTCAGCACATCCTAACCTGCTCTGTTCCTTTTCAGATGCAGATGGAGCTTCAATGGCCATGTCCCAAAATCGCTTAGGGTGCGTCTAAACTACACCCTTCTGTCAGCAGAGGGATGTAAATGAAGCACTTTGAAAGCGCAAATGAAGCGGGGATTTAAATATCCCGCACTTCATTTGCATAATCGCGTCATGGCACTGTTTTGAACAAGCGCCATTTCGAAACTGAAACCGCAGTTTAAACGCTTTTTTTTCGACAACAGGGTGCCTTTTCAAAAGATCCTGTACTTTCTATCTTTCGAAAAGGCACCCCCTTGTTGAAAAACTTCTAAACTGTGGTTTCAGTTTTGAAATGGCGCTTGTTCAAAACAGTGCCATGACACGATTATGCAAATGAAGCGCAGGATATTTAAATCCCCGCTGCATTTGCATTTTTGACGTGCTTCATTTACATCCCTCTGCTGACAGAGGGGTGTAGTTTAGATGTAGCCATAGAAAAATAGGTAAGCTAGCCCTCAATAGTTAGTCTTTGTGGAGCTAGGTTTCTGTTTCTTTTTCTTCTTGCCAGTTAAAATTTGAAAAAAAAAAAACACACACACACACACACACACACCTACCTCTACAGGTTTCCCCATTGTTTCCTTTAGTTGTCCCAAAACCAAAATTGGAATCTGAAAATGCCAGCCTTGCCTGTGTTTAAAAGATGCCCTTCTTGTAAGGACACAATATGTATCTCTGATGCACAATCACAGCATGTCCACTGCTTCGGAGAGGAGCACATTCCTCAGAAAAGCTCCCACTTCAGCAATCATCCTACCCCTTCTCGCACTATTGCAGATGGCTCAAAACAATTTCAAGAGTTAGTCAGATAGATAGCACAAAGCTAGAACATATAGCTAGAAGAGGTGACTGAAAACTAACATCAGCTCCTCAAAATACTACATTCAGAATCCTCGACTAAGATTGTGCTACCAATTAATAGTGCCCCAATGGAATTAGTATGGCAAACGCAAGCAACCATACCTCCGACATACAAAAGAGCAGACAGGAAGTGCCAGGTGCCCAACAAGGATATGGACTTACTATTTTCACACTTTCAGCCAAACTCCTTGGTGGTAGAGATGGTGAACCAACAGGGGAAACAATCCCATTATAAATCCACACCACAGGACAAGGACTCTCAGAAATTGGATTTGTTTGGGTGAAAAGTACTCATCAACAGTCCTCTAATTCCACATGGCCAACTACACAGCAGTACTAGCAAAATACGGCCATAATCATTATAAAAGCTCAGTGAATTCGTAGCAGACTTTCAGAAAGATTGAAGACATCCATTCCAAACTGCCATAATTGAAGGTCAGCTCATGGTGAAGATGGTTTTACAAGTGTCTTTTGACATGACAGACACAGTCACTCATACAACAGCTACAGCGATAGTTATGAAGAGGGCCCCGATGCTACAATCCTGGGATTTCAAAGGACCTCTAGATTGAACTCTGGGCATCTATATGCTCCCTAGCAGGCATATAATACCAAACTTGCCAACACCATAGAGAGAACTGAACAGTGATAACAGAAGCCTTTTGATAATCAAAAACAAAGGCACAGACCACAGAGACATTGCCTTGGCCCAGGGCTACTCAACTTTGGAAGCCCAGGGGGCCACAATGATACTCACAGCACATGCTAAGGGCATCAGCTTAAGTGTGGTTGCATATACATGCGAATATATATGCAAATATCTTCTTTCACACCAACGGGCATGAATACAAAGCACTTCCCACAATGCCCCAGTGCTCCAGGCACCTCCTGCCTGGGGGCTAGAAACTGTTCCAGCCGTCCAGTCCATTTGCATCTTTCAGTGCTCACCCCGCCTGCGAGACACCTCACCATTGTGGAGCTTGTTCCCAGTTAGGGTCATATTCAAAGGATCCAACCCTCGGGCCATGTTTTGAGTCCTGCGTAAACCCAAATTGCACTGTGGGCTGCAAAAAAAATGGGCCATGGGCTGCCCACGGGCCACATGTCGAGTAGCCCTGCCTTAGCCAATCAAACTGCAATGTCACTAGCACCTACAAATAAGTTCCAATTTTGAAGCATTGGTCAAACATTGAAGCATCTTGAAGGGTGAATTTATGGTGCCCATTGGTTCACCACCTCCACCATAAAGGAGTTTGGCTGAGGCTGTCAAAAAAGGAAATCCATACCCTTGTCGGACATGTAATATCAATCACTGGGGCCAATTGAACAAATAACCCAAGTTTTTGGTTAATGACACCGACCATTTTACCATACATGGGCCACCATCACCACAAATCACTGGGTTTTTGAGTTCATTCAAGGTGGTTTTACCACCCCTTTACCTTCATCCCACCTACCCATCTCCTTTCTCCATCCGTCTTCATGGACCCTTCTCATGAGCCCCTATAAAGTCAAGAAGTAGACCACCTGTTATTAGGGGTCATGGAATAAGATCCCAACACCACACAGAGGGAAGGGGGTTTACTCACATTATTTCCTGACTCAGAATAACAGCGGAAGTTAGAGACTTGTAGTAGATCTCAGAAAATAAATTTGCCCCACCATTTTCATAGTAAAACATGCCTAACTACACCTACTCTGCTTTCAAGGATAGCTAAACTGGGTGTATATTCCAAGAAAGCACAGTCCAGAAAAAAAAAGACTCAAATCAATCCCGGGGGTCCTCCATTCACTACAGTGGTGGACAAACCTAATAAACATGTGCTCGGGCATCACATTTTAGCATGATCCATCATCAATATATATCACAACAAATGTCTCACTGATCAGATGGGGAGCTCACCTAAGCCAACACGTAACTCAAGCCAAGTGGTCCCTGATGGAAATAACTTACACACCAATCCACTCAAATTATGCACAGGCTTCCATTCATACCTACATCTTCTTCCTATTATACGAGGCAAAACTATAAGGATCCTGACAGACAACTTTGAATGTATGTTTTATATAAACTGGTCAGGTGGGATATGTTCCCATTCGTTATGTCCGGACGCCTTAAAACTATGGAACTGATGCATAATATACAACATCTCTATTGCAGCAGCATACTTCCCAGGCCAACTGAACCTGATGGTAGACACATTAAACAGACAGTTTTTCCAAGAAAACAAATGGAAACTGAATGATGAAGCAGCACAACACATACTTCACATGTGGGGATCACCCAACATAGATTTGTTCATGACATCAGTAAACAAGAAATGCCCAAATTTGCTCACAAGCAGGACTCAGTTTTAAAATCCCTAGAGGGATGCTTTTCTCCTATATATATTCCCACCTTTCCAGAATGATAAACAAAATATGAACAGAGTCAAAATAGTATTAATAGTGCCAGGCGCCTCAAACCATTCACTCTCCCTTGCCTATATAATCTTCTGTCTCAGGCCAATAGTCAGATCTTCCATCTGGATCAGGAGAGACTTCACCTATAGGCAGGCTCCTTCATGGCTCCACCCCAATGAACTAACATGCTCAGAATAAGTAAAACACGTATTCATAAACAGCAGGAAACACACCATAGACCCTATCTACCTCTAAAACTGGAAAAGAGTCCTATGGTCTGGGAGCCAGCAGCCTTGCCAGGCCCTAGGGTAAGGTGAAGGAGGCCAGCTCTGCACTCTTGGGAGAGGCAGGGCTGGGGGCAGCCAGACCTCAGCACCACCTGGACTGTAGTGTCCCCCTCCTCTCCTTGGTACTGCCCAGAGTATGCTGCCCAGTGCTCAAGTTGTGATTTAAAGGGCCCAAGGCTTCAGGTACCATCCCTGCTGAAATGCAGCAGTCCTGGGCCCTTTTGAATCATTGGGCTTTGGTGCAGTTGCCCTCTTCCTCCCACTCCTGCCTGTGGTGTTAAAACAAACAGATAAAGTAATTTCTCATTTAACACTATAGATATGTTTCAGAAAATGATGGTGTTAAGTGAAAACGTGTTTTGCGGGGTCAGTTTTCCCATTGAAAATAATGGAAAAGGTGGAGGTTGCGTTTCAAGCAGTGGTGTCTGTTGGGACCGAGACACAAGGTTCGGGGAGAAAGGGGACTGGGTTACAGCAGGGAGGGGAGGAAAGGGGAGGAGGATTGGGTTGGGAGTATGCCCCTTTGATGGGTCTGCTGGGACCCACACTGCGTCTGGTGAGGGGGGGTTGCCAGGGAATGGCACGGCAAGTGGCGAACTCTCCGCCGCTTTGCAGGGAGGCGGGGGAAGCCCCACGCAGCCGCCGGCACCAGACCAGCTGGGGAAATCGTGTTATTCAGGGGACGGTCATGTAATACAATACCCGTGCTATCATGAAAACGTGTTAAGCGGGCACGTGTTAAATGAGGAATTACTGTAGTTGCAAGTTGAGCACCATTTCCACTAATGATAGAATATTTATTATTCCTAAAGACCTGAGGCCTTGCTACAGAGCTCTCTTACACGTCTACACAGCAGGGCTAAAGCTGAAATAAGCTACACAACTTGAGCTATGTCAATTGTGTAGCTTAAGTCGAAATACCTTATTTCAGCTTTTGGTGCTGTCAACACAGCAGGAAGTCCAAGTTAGAGCACTCTTCCTCCAACTTCCCTTACTCCTCATAAAATAAGGGTTACAGGAGTCGGAGTAAGAAGTCCTCCAGCTCAACATTATTTTGACACTGTCAAAATAACTGCTGGTAGTGTAGAAACAGACTATGTTATTTTGGAATAATGTCAGTTAACACTATGTAGACGTGCCCTTAGAGTTCACCTTGAAGCCAGCACAGCTTTCTGTCAACTCAAATACATGTGACATCCAAGAACCCAGGTGGGACATAAATCTGGTTCTCAAAAGTCTAACCTGATCCCCTTTCGAAACCTTAGCCCCATGCTCATTATTTCACTTATCTATGAAAGTGGCATTTCTGGTCACCATTACATCAGCTCAGAGAGTTAATGAGCTCTTATGATTCACCCCCTATACACAATATTCTTTGGCTTCGTCTACACTGGCACCCTTTTCCGGAAATGCTTAAAACGGAACAATTTTCCATAATAAGTATTTCCGGAAAAAGCGCGTCTACATTGGCAGGATGCTTTTCCGGAAAAGCACTTTTTCCGGAAAAGCGTCCGTGGCCAATGTAGACGCGCTTTTCCGGAAAAAAGCCCCGATTGTCATTTTCACGATTGGGGCTTTTTTGCGGAAAAGACTACTGTGCTGTCTACATTGGCCCTTTTCCGGAACAGTTTTTCCGGAAAAGGACTTTTGCCCGAACGGGAGCAGCATAGTTTTTCCAGAAAAACTCTGACAATTTTACAGTAGATCATCATTGCTTTTCCGGAAAAGCAAGCAGCCAATGTAGACAGCTGGCAAGTTATTCCGGAAAAGCAGCTGCTTTTCCGGAATAAGTGACCCAGTGTAGACACAGCCTTTGAGGATAAAGTCACACTTAGAACACATCCTGTTGCAACCAATTCACTCACTCACCTATATTCCTCCTAAAACCACACAATAATACTCAAGAAGTGATCCTGCACATATTAGATTTCAGTCCTAAACAGACCGAAACATGTATGTAAATCTTCTAGACTCTTTGGGTTGACAACAGAATGACTAAAAGGTTCTGCTATATCGACTTCAGGATTATTCAAATGGATATCCAGCTGTATCCATACAAGCTATGCACTTGTAACATGATACCCCGTCCAAGCATCAGAGCCCACTCAACAAGAACTGTAACTACCTCCATAGCATTTTTACGCAATGTTCCAATTCTCAACAGTTGTAGGGTGGCCAGCTGGGCCTCTGAATACACATTGAAGAACTACTATGAAATCACTACTGGTTCTAGCTTGCATACACAACTAGGCCTCACTGTGTTAACTTCAGCAAAGAACTCCATTCCGAAGTTCCTTCCATCCTCACGAGGGTACTAGTCTACATTCACCTGAAATGGAGCACCCATGGGGACAGCACTTGAAGAAGAGGTTACTCACCTAGTGCAGTAACTGAAGTTCTTCGAGATGTGTAACCTTCTGATACTACAGCAATGGAAGGGGTTCTTCCATTGTTGTAATAAATCCAGTTCTCTGAGAGGTGGTAAATAAGTTAATGGAAGAGTTCTTCTGTCACCCTAGTTGGCCTATACTTAGGCTGATCTAATTCTATTGTACAAGGCATGACATTTTTCACAGCCCTGAAGAACATAGGTAGGCCAATCTAACTTTGTAGTGTGACCAGCCCTTTATAGTTGACTTATGCCCCATTGCATGAGTTTATATCCCTTTTATCTATTGTGACAGTTCTCTTTAATAATCTAAGTGTCTAGTCCTTTTATGTAATTTCTTCTAAGATGATGATCACAATTACTCTTGGGGACACTGAATACCACAAATTGATTGTAATATTTTTTTAAATTCTTACCAGTTCCAAATTATGTGGAAAAAACTGTGATTACCATTAAATCTAATTAAAAAAAAACAAACCTGACATTCATTAAAATATGAACCTCAGTGAACCCTGTGATTGTTTTCTGTTCTTGCATGCAATCAGTAAAGGGTTAGTTTTCAAATAAAGTCTGATTCTCCTTCATATACAAGAATTAAGCATTCTTACTGATGACATTACCACTGCAGACACCTGTGAGATTGTGCCCTACCACATGATAATGGGACCTATTTTTGTTTGTCCCTATGCTTCCTGTTATTCTTAGGGTAGAACCAAGAAACTCCCAAACTCAAAGCAATGTGCCTACTCTGCTCATGGGCAAAGGATCTAAGTTATGACCTCCTATACTGGCAAGTGAGAACTCCTGCTGATGGGCTCAGACCCAGAAGAGCCTCTCAGAAGCATATGGCTGGGTCATTTCTGATCAGATCCTGGGACTTCTTAGGCTAAGACCCAGAAGAACCTCCTGGCATTTTGTTTTGGGTTTGGGATCCTTTCCTCCACTGGAATATTTTTTCAAGACAAGACATTTTAGACCCTGATCTCTTTAACGATCTCCCATTGAAGAAAGAATCTCACTATCAGGAAAAGTCCAAAGACACTTTTTAAAAAAAACAACAAATCCCTAACTATAACCTTATTGCTATAAACTATGTCTAAGACAGTATACTAAGTGTCCAAGCATGGATCCCGAACAAAGAGGGATTGAGTGTCATGTCTGCTGAGCCTGACTGAAAAAGAAGGGACAGTTGTCAGGATAGGGGTTTTTATGTCCTTAGTTCTAGAATGCTGCCATGCAGGAACATACTCTTTCACAACAGTGTACTACGTTGAAATGGATTGATTTCATTTCTCCCAGTGTGGACCTGCAGAAGCAATAGATATAGAGAACAAAGGGCTATGTAGACATCCAGGCTTGAACTGAAAGGATGGAGAGAGATGGGTTCAGAGCTTTCCAACTTGAGCTGCGTTGTCTACACAGCTGGGTTAGCACCACAGTGTGAGCCCAAGTCAGTCGTCCTGGGCGTTAAGACTTGCTGCCTCTCACTGTGTTAAATGCACCCTAACTAGTTCATGTGGCCAATTCTGGCACACACTGAAAGTCCTCTAGTGTGCTTTAATGAAGTAATGTTTGAAACACTAGAGCCTTGAGGCTGCTCGTTGCATAAATGTACCCTCAATGCTCAGTACACTAGCAGGCACTGGAGTTTATACTCCTCTGGTATGACTAACACACCTCATAAACAAGTCTTTAGTGTGATACAATGGAAAACCTGTTGAAATGGTGTAGTTCTCGCTAGATAAAATTAGTGCTTTTTCATCTGCAAGCCTTGACAAGTTTTTTAGAAGACCTCTTATCTAATTTCCTTATGATCTCTAATTTAGTATTTTTCTTCGCAGCTAAGTTCCTTAACTCTTTTAATTAGTCATTGCAACAAAAAGTCAGGAAAGTGACTACCAGCCAATAATGAAGAATGTGAGTAAGCAGATTGCAGAATATAACAAAACTCTCATAGAGTCTTTACAGAACACCAGGAACTGAACCCAGGCACTTCCTTCCTGCTCCAGTGGCCCAACAATAGGTGTGCACAAGCACAGAAGAAACCTGGACTGCTGAGCTAAAAGCTAACAGTAGCACAGTAGGTGCATTTAAAAAAACCTCTTCCAGTTACAGACAGATGAGTTTTCCACAGTTGTCTTTATTTTAAATATAGTGAATATCCCTGAAAGCTTTAAAGCCAGAGGGGATATTCGAAGGGAGCCTACTGGATACACACTCTGGATATGAAAATATAGTTTGCTCTACATAGTTAACTATTTGGGCCCCAATCCTGCAGTTCTTACTCAAGCAAAAATGATTTGGGCTCAGTACAGTATTCCTCTCAGGCAATACTGAGTCAGGACTGAACATCTGGTCCTTTGTTGTTGGTAAACAATTATCTTAAACCTTATTAAAATAGATAGATAAGATCATCAGCTGATGTGAATCAGCATAGCTCTCTCATAGCACCAGAGTATACAGTCCAGTGTCTCTTCTGATCAGAAGCTCTTTTTATATAAAAACTTTCAGAGCAGGAAAACAAATGTAGGACTAACAGTAAGAAGGTTCTTTCAGTGTATTTTATTTTTTGTAAAGGACAATATAATAACAGGAGATTCTAATAAAACTTAAAGGTTTTTCTCCATCCTGATTGTGTAGTTTTATGTTTTTCACCAATAAAGAAATTAAAAGGAAAGTTATTCATAATTCTTTTTCTGAAGATATCCTCTTGTAGCGTTCTGTCTCAAGTTTCATGCTCCCATATGTCACAGAAACAAGCAGGGCAAATGTGATCAGAAGAATTTGTAAAAATTCTAAATGGTAAAAATTCTATGTGGCTATGTCAATGTCAGTACTTTTTGAATCCTGCTTATACTTTCTTTTTTTTTTATATTCTCTATGGTTTGGACTGAAGGCATTCCAGGGACTCAAAGTAATAACCAAATGCCATAGTTATTTTCTTCCTTTCATACCTACAGTATAATTAGCTACTTCCTATTATCTTTCCTCCACCAGGGAGATTAAGTTAGTTGTGTAGCTTCCTGGCCAGCCAAAAGGAGGTACTGTAGCCTACAGACAGCTAAATGTAGACAGTGTTCCTGGCCAGATTTCGCTGATCTTTTATCAAAAACAAAACAATAGAGGCTAGGTTGCTAATTATTGTGCTATCACATAACCTTCCAAAGGAAGAGGTAAAAGATCAATTGCACCTTATTATGCTACACTGGACAGAGAATTAGGAAATATGCCATGGGCATGGCATGATCTGATTAGTCACAGGTTCAGAGACATTATGAAATGGAAAAGACCTAAAAATGTCATCCTGAAAATGAAGGAAAGTTACACAAAAGGAAAAAATTCATGTTGAAAATTCTTGGAAGGACCATGATTTCCAAAGTCAGTTCAGTAAATCCTCCTGCTCTCTCTATTTATTATATTTAATATTTAGACAACATGATGGAACAGGATTTCTATAAACCAGACTCTGTTATCTAGGGGAAATTCCTACTAATGTCTCTTCCTTCCTCTCAGAGTTTCAGCTATTCCAATAAGCCCATTATTTGCTGAGATAAAGTTGGAGTCAAATATCCTGGGAGGTCAGATCTTCCTTAGCTAGTCACACTGCCTACTGAATTCCTCTCATGCTACAATAACACATTTTAATTAACAATGGGAAGAAGCCATAAACTGAGTAAACATGCTGCCTGAATTTCCCTTTCACTCTCTGCCTGAGGATCCTTCTTATGCCATGATACGTTTTTTGTTAAATAGGTTAGGAAAGTTTATTTTGGCCTTTGTTTTGCCCTTCACATGACTTCTATCATAAATAAACACTGGCTCAGGGAGCATATTCTTATTTTGTTTCCCATAAACAAAATTATGGGATTACTTGTCATCTCCTGAGGATGTCCCCTTCATACCTTCTTTTAATACCTTATCCTTCAGGCCCCAACATCCTTATTTTTGGCACATTACTTCCATTACTGACCCCTAACGACTGAAAGGGAAAAGAATTGAACCTGTAGCTCCTGTATCCAGGAGCAGAACACTAACCATTAGGTCACCAGGTCATGATGTCATAGTTTTTTTATTTTTCCAAAATGAGTTTAGACAAAATATCAAATGTACAAGAGATGAGCAAACAGCATACCCAAGCAATCCCATTTAAACCATCAAAATGCAATATCACCAGGACAGGGATCTCAGCCGGTATGTCCGTACATGTCTGGTACAAAGTTCAAAGGTATCTTTATGTGAAGCTTTCACTGTGAGAGCATGGGAGGTACCAGCAGATAAAAAGTTATGGGAATTGGCATTTTAAACCTTTTCTGCTTCTCCAAAAGATAGACTATGGCATTCTGAAGAAGCATGGGGAGCTCAGATTTTAAAATGTGCTGCTCAAAGGAAACAGGCTTTGATGACTTTGCCACTATTGTGGTACCATAACTGTGATTCTGGCCTCTTGATTGATGCTGTTTGGAAATGAAGCTGATAGGCCTCCTCTTGGCAACTATTCTGTGCTTGTTTAGATGGGTTCTTGCTCTTCCCTCAGTGTCTGTCAATGCTGGATACCTTTTGCTCTGGGGCTGTCTACACTGCGTTCTTTTCTGGAAAAAAATACACCAATTGCGAACCATGTGCTCAGGCACTGACTCATGGCTCTTCTCTTGGTATGCACTGTAGTCACTGATCACAATCGCAAGTGCTGCGAAAGAACCAGAGGTCAGAGAATGAGAGGTCTACCACAAGTAAAATGAGAGACAGCCCAGAATGAGACCAGAATGGGGCCATGGGACTTCAGCCTCAGTGGCTAAGCCTATGGAACGAGCCCAAAAGCTGCAAACCCCAACTCTAGCCTCTTCTCCAGAGCCACCAAGAAAACTCTGCTTGCCCAACCCCTGAGGCTTTTCAAGCAGCCCAGGACCCTAATGCAGAGCTCGGCACCCTTCTTACTGACACAGGCCCCACGTAGGGCATCTTCTAGAGGCAAACCAGCCATGATGGCTAGCAATCACCTGCACTGATATACTTGCTCCTTGACCTCCTCAGTCCCAAAGCAGTCTGCCTCCACAGTGCTCCTATTGGCACCGGCACTGATGTTGACTTTGACTCTGGCATCAGCACTGGACTGCTTGGACTTTTGGCACCAACCCTAGTCTCCTCTTTGGTACCAAAAGTGTGTATGTCCGGGGGACTCAAAATGTCCTCAATGCAGGGACCATGCCAGAGGCTCAGGTGCTGGATGTTGAGGAGCATCTGCCCCTTGTAGGCACCTCCTCATCATCTACTGAGATGAGGCACTGGCAAGTACAACCCCTATCACAGGCCTGAAAGATAATAAGGTTCTGTAACAGCTCCCCAGGAGGGTTGCCCAAGGTCTCAGCATCCAAACAGAAGAGATGGAAGAGGAATCTGACCTTGCCTTTCAGAAAAATTTCAGACAACATCTGATGGGGCGTACTCTCCTCGCACTGAGTAGGAGGGGATTTACTCTGTCGTGAGAGCGGAAGAGGCCACACCTCCTTTACCTTACTGGTCATGCTCGGGCTGCACTGTTATAAAAGAGAGCAGCTCTGCTCAGTATGGGCTGGCAGCTGAAGGTAGAGGACATGCGTGGCCAGCTCCCTGCAAGCCTCAATGACAGTCCAAATGCCAAGACACTACCACGCAGGTCAGAGACCCGACGCATCTAGAGATCATGCAGGATTCAAAAGCAGGTGAGAGTAGCCAGATCCCAGAGGAAGATGGGGGGAAAGAGATCCACCAGTGCACTGAGACATTGGAAGCAGCCCAGGAACGGCGATGGCTACAGAGTGAGTGAGCCGCCATTGGAGTGTCAGCATATTGCGGCAGGAATTTCCCCACTGACCAGTGGCTAGAGTGAGCTACTAACAGGGCCCTGGGCTGGGGTCCAGTGGAGTGGGAGGACCTGCACCCCCTCTATCGAGGGATGTAAAGCTTTCCCCTATTTATTATCCTTTAAAACAGACTTTGACCATTGGGTCATATTAGGACTATGGACTTGTGCTGTCCCGCTGCTAAGGGTGAGCTATAGCTTAGGACCCAGGGGCTGGAGGACAGGAGTAATCCAACTTGGGCGTGCAAGATTGGAGGCACTGGCTGGAGGAGAAATGGGCAAATGCCGGTGTGACAGGGGCAAGGCAGACACAGACACACACCCATCCTGGACAAGGTCGTGTGACACCTTGACTCATTGCCATCCACAGCTAAGGGCATTGAGAGACTTTACTTTGTTCCATCTAGAGGATATGAACAACTCTATACGCATCCTGCACCCAATTCATTGATGATAGATGCAGTCAACCAGCATGAGCAGTTGGATTCCAGGGCCCATCCTCTAAGAACAGAGAGGCAAAGTAATTGGACCTGTATGGTAGAAAGGTCTACTCGATGGGTGGACTGCAACTCCATATCTCTAACCAGCAGGCTTTGGTCAGCAGGTATTTCAGTACTCTCAGTGCAATGACAAAATTCACAAAGTTGCTTTGCCAGGACTCCTGCACTGAGTTCTCTGCCCTCTTAGAGGAGGGCAGACTTATTTTGAGAGCATCCCTGCAGACTGCATCCGTTGATGGTTTAATACGGGTCTCACATGATATTCTTATCAATAAACTAGGCAAATACAACTTAGATGTATACCTACTATAGGGTGGGTGCATAACTGTAACTGGATAACCGTACTCAGAGAGTAGTTATTAATGGTTCACAATCCTGCTGGAAAGGTATAACAAGTGGGGTTCTACAGGGGTCTGTCTTGGGACCGGTTCTGTTCAATATCTTCATCAATGATTTAGATATTGGCATAGAAAGTACACTTAAGTTTGCAGATGCTACCAAGCTGAGAGGGGTTGCGACTGCTCTGGAGGATAGGGTCATAATTCAAAATGATCTGGACAAATTGGAGAAATGGTCTGAGGTAAATAGGATGAAGTTTAATAAAGACAAATGCAAAGTGCTCTACTTAGGAAGAAACAATCAGTTTCACATATGCAGAATGGGAAGAGACTGTATAGGAAGGAGTATGGCAGAAAGTGATCTAGGAGTTATAGTGGACCACAAGCTGAATATGAGTCAGCAGTGTGATGCTGTTGCAAAAAAAAAAAAAAAAAAAAAAAAAAAAAAAGCACACATGATTCTGGGATGCATTAACAGGTGTGTTGTGAGCAAGACATGAGAAGTCATTCTTCCACTTTGCCCTGTGCTGGTTGGAGCCTCAGTTGGAGTATTGTGTCCCGTTCTGGGCACTGCATTTCAAGAAAGATGTGGAAAAATTGGAGAGGGTCCAGAGAAGAGCAACAAGAATGATTAAAGGTCTAGAAAACATGACCTATGACGGAAGGCTGAAAGAATTGGGTTTGTTTATTTTAGAAAAGAGAAGACTGAGGGGGGACATGATAGCAGTTTTCAGGTATTTAAAAGGGTGTCATAAGGAGGAGGGAGAAAACTTGTTCATCTTGGCCTCTGAGGATATAACAAGAAGCAATGGGCTTAAACTGCAGCAAGGGAGGTTTAGGTTGGACATTAGGAAAAAGTTCCTAACTGTCAGGGTAGTCAAACACTGGAATAAATTGCCCAGGGAGGTTGTGGAATCTCCATATCTGGAGATATTTAAAAGTTAGTTAGATAAATGTCTATCAGAGATGGTCTGGACTGTATTTAGTCCTGC